GCACAGTCAATGAAGCACAGAAGGACATTTCTCTGGTACTCTTTGCTTCCTGGCCAAGATCCGTCTGACATTGGTGATAATGTCTCTAGGGCCACATCTTCTGAACTCAGCTTGTATTTCTGGCAGTTCTCTGTCAATGTACTGTTCAATCATTTTTTTATAATCTTCAGCAAGATTTTGCTTGTGTGTGATATTGTTTGATAATTTCCATATCCTGTCAGGTCACCTCTTTTTAGATTGAGATTGGATCTCCACCAGTCATTTGGCCAGGTGATTGTTCTCCAGATTTCTTGGCACAACCGAGCATGTCCAGGACAGCATCTGTCTATTGAAATATGTCAGCTGGTATTACATCAATTCCTGGTGCCTTTTTGATAAAATGATTTCATGCAAAGGAGTCCTGGTGCTGCAGTGGTAAAAGAGCTCAGATGCTGACTAAAAGCTCAGTAGTTCAAAGCCATCAACCATTTAGGAGGTGAAAGATGTGACAGTCTGATTCTGTGAAGATTTATAGTCCTAGAAACCCTCTGGGGACAGTTCTACTCAGTCTTTTGGGTTTATGTGAATCAGAATTGACTCAGTGGCAGTGAATGATTTTTTGTTGTTTAAATTTTATAAAACTAAAACTAGATAAGGAAGATGACCAGTTTTAAATATGTGAGGTGCAAAGCGGTCTCCTAGCTATCTTTAAGTGGTGTGGTAGAAGTGATGTGGGAAATAAAGTCACTCCATTACATGTGTGTTTCAGGGCATATAGCCCTCTCCATAGATCTTTAAGGATAAAAAGGTGTAGGGAACTGTTGCTGTCCTTCAGACTAGCTTGATCAGATTTATGAATATATTTTAGAACTAAACATTGTTTTAATTTTTTATGTCAAATGTTTTACTATCTAAGGTTTTTCTGGACACTAAGGAGCCCCTGTGGTATAGTGTGTAACATGTCAAGCTGCTGCTAACTGTAAGGCTGGAAGTTCAAATCCATGAGTGGCTCTGTGCTAGAAAAATGGGTCAGTCTCCTGTTGTAAGATTCATAGCCTCAGAAATTTAGTGGAGGGTCACTATGCATTCCACTCACCATCACAAGCTTTGTGAACAGTGGAGTGACTGGATGGTGGCAAACAGTTAATTCATTTGGCTGCTAACTGAAAGGCTGGAGGTTCAAACCCGCCAGAGGCATTTTGGGAGAATGGCCTGCTTATCTCCTTCTGAATAATTAGCCTTTGAAATTCTGTGCAGCAAAAATCTACGTGTGAGATTGCCATGAGTTGGAATGAATTTGATGGCAACTGATGGTAGACTTCGATAGGGAAATTGCAATTCTGCTTGCTAACTGTATAAATATAATATGTGCTTATGTGAGACCTTTACCTAAACCAGGAAGCTATTGTCAAAACAGAGCAAAGGAACACTGCATGGTTCAAAATTTTAAAAAAGTGTGCATCAGAGATATAACCTTTCTCCATACTTTTACAATCTGTATACAGATCATTCAGGAGGCTGGACTTTAGGAAAAGGAATGTGGCATCAAGATTGGAGTCATTGGATTCGTGAACCACCTGTGTTATGCGGATGACAAAGCCTTGCTCGCTGAAACTGAGGAGGACTTGAAGTTTTGCTGGAGAAAGTCAAGAACTGCTGCCTTCTCATATGGGTTGCATCTCAACATCAAGGAAACAAAGATCAGATGGCTTAGTGGCAAGAAGCTGCACTGCAATCTCAGAAGTATGTGGGTTCGAATACACCAGATGCTCTGCTGGAGAAGGAGGAACAATCTCCTCCTGTACCAGTCAGATCATCCGATTTGACGGCGTGCGCACGCACGCGCGCGCGTGCGCACACACACACACACACACACACAAGTAATAAAATTTAAAAAGAAAAAAAAATTAAAAAAAAAGAAAAGAGAACAAAGATCCTCATTACTAGGCCAATTGACTGTATTGATTGTTGGAAAAGACTGAAATTGTTAACAGTTTCATCTTGAGCAGGTCCACAATCAATGCTCTTGGAACCACCTGTCAGGAACTCAGAAGACTAATTGCATTGGGAATATCTGCTGTCAGAGACCTCTTCAGAGGGCTGAAAGCAACATTGTCAGGCTAGAGACTAAGGTATGCCTGATCCAGGCCATGGTCTTCTGAGTTGCTTGCTATGTAGCTAAGAGCTGGACAATGACTTAAGGATGACAGAAGAAGAATTGATGCCTTTGAATTGTGGTGCTAGAGAAGAGTATTGAACATACCATGCACTGCCAAGAGAACAAACAAGTCTGTCCTGGAGAAGGTGAAAACACATTACACCTTGGAGGCAAAAATTTTGAAGCTCCTTCTTACATACTTTGGGCAAGTTGCCAGGAGGGACCAGTTCTTGGAGAAGGACGTTATGCTTGGAAGGGTAGAAGGTCAGTGCAGAAGAGGAAGACCCCAGATGAGGTGGATTAACACAATGACTAAGACTGTGAGGTCAGGTGTGTCTGAGAGGTGAGATTGGCTCAGGAAAGGACAAGATTCAGAGACATTGTTTCTAGAGTTGCTATTAGTTGTAGCTGTCTCAACAGCATAACAACAGTGTATCTATATGGATAGAGAGAGATAAAGAGAAAGAGTTCTGATGGCCTAGTGAATAGAGTTGTGTTGTCAACCCAAAGGCATGTGGTTTGGATCTATAAGCTACTCTGTGGGAGAGAGATGGACACTCTACTCCCCTGCAATATACAGCCTCTGAAAACTCATTGGAACTTTTGCTATGAATTCGTTCCAGCTTGGTGGTATGTGTGTGTGAAAGATTTATGTATTTATATATATTTGTATTTATTAATACAAATAATAATTATATATATGTATAAATATGTGTTGTGTATTGAATAGATATATTCAATAGGAAGCTCTGATAGCCTAGTTGTAAGATACTTGTGCTGCCACCAAAAGACACATGATTCAAATACACCAGCTGCCTTGTGGGAAAAAGATGAGCAATCTCCTCCCATGGGATTTACTGCCTCTAAAAACCTGCTGGAGGATCAGCTATGAGTGTGTTCCCATTCGACAGTACATAAAAACAAACAAAAAACATTTACTGTGTATATTTACATGAGAACAAGAAAACAATTTCAGAATCCTACATATCATACAACTCACTCTGTAAACAGGACCATTTATACAACCTCTGAGGGGTATTACTATTGGGTCAAAGAGGGAGACATTCACTTACTACATTATATAACTGGTTTTAAGGATTTATTGTTCCAAATGGCTTCCCTAGCATCTTACCTGGAACCTTCTCACCAATGAAAGAAGCAAGAAAATGCAATGCATCGTTTGGGGCCAGGCATTCTTGTGCCACTCAGACTAGGGCCTGTGGGAGTAGCACTCATAGCAGCTGCAGCAGTGAACCAGGGACCTAAAGTGAGGTGGAGTGGACCCTGGAACTTCTACCCCATGGAACCAGAACAAGGAGCCTTTACTCAGGTTTGTTGGACAACTCAGGAGTGGGGAGTGAAGCCATAATTGGCAAGACTGAGAGCTTTGAAACATTGACTTAAAGGTTTAAGACTCAAGGCTGATGCACCTGTGAGCACATTTCAGAAGCTGTCCTGACTCTATTCTGCTCCTAATCTGATCATAGCCTGTTTGACTTTCCTAATATGGATCTTTATGGTATGTAAGCTATTACATAAGATTTTGAACCCAGTAAAGCAGTAAGATTGGTGTTGGGATGAGTAGAAAGAGGTGTAGAAGCATGGGGGACATGTCTGACCTCATGGGAATTGGTTCTGTGGTGTTGATGTTGTTGATGAGGATAGTTGCCCTTTCTGAAGCTGGTAAACGTCAGATATGACTGTCCCCGTGTGTGTCCCTTGCTCTTTTTACATTAACTAATAAAAGAAATTATTGAGTGTTGAAAAACACTTGAAGAATTTAACTTCTCTAGAGATATTGTCCCAGTTTCCTTGTGACAAAATTTTGCCAAGTTAAAAAAAAAATCATCTTTTATTGTCTTGACAGATTGAACTCTTAATTTTGTTTACACAGCCCCCCCACACCTCCCCACCCCCACCCCACCCTTGTAGAATATATGCTAATTGTTTCATCAGGAAGTGGTCACATAAAAACCTAGAATCCAACTGAATTACAGTCTAACTCCATGGTTTCTAAGATTTTTGTCCACTCCCTTTAGAGAGTGCAGCCTTCAGTGGAATCCTCAGTTCTTTACACAAAATTGTGAGTTTGGGTTTTAATTCAAGTGCTGATTTGTTCTCAAACCACTCATTAATTAATTAATTCACTTTCTTTAGTCAACTTTGAATATCTCATACAGGCCAGATGTTGTTCTGGCAGCTGTGGATGGAACAGTAATCAGTATGAAAAATACTGTTGTCTGCATGGAGATTATATTGGTAGTGGAGGTGAGAGAATAATATCAGAAGAAATATATAAAAAATAAAGGCACCTGGAGCTCTGGTGGTTTAGTGGTAAGAAACTGCACTGCCAGTTCTGAGATTAATATTTTTAATCTGCCAGCTGCTACTTGGGAGAAAAATGGACAGTCTTCTTCCATGCTATTTACTGCCTCTGAGGGTAAGCTATGGATTGTTTGTGACTCAACAGTACACAACAACTAAAAGGTTGATGTTTCAAACTCTCCTAACAGTACCACAGAGGAAAGACTAGATTTGGTTCCATTCAGATTACAGTCAACAAAACTCCACAGAGCAGTTCTGCTCTATATCATGTGGGACTGCTTTGAGTCAGATTCCACTCTAAAGCAAGATTTTGTTTGTTTTTAATGGATAAAACCAAAGCAGGGTTAGGGAGATGGAGAAGTAGGGGGAAGGCCATTACTGTTTTATATAGAATGATTAGGAAGTACAGAGGTGCTGAGGGAGAACATGTTTGACATATCTGTGGACTGGTATCAGGGAGATATCAGGAGTGTACCTGGGGCCCAGTGACTAAGTATGATAAGAAGTGAGGTTATTTCATTTGCTTATCTAATTTCAGGAGTTAGTGACCTTCAGAGATGTGGCTGTAGACTTTTCTCAAGAAGAATGGGATTACCTGGACTCTGCTCAAAAGCACCTGTACTGTAATGTGATGCTGGAGAACTACAGGATCCTGGTATCACTGGGTAAGGCTATCTTCCCCCTTATGAAATTCAGAATCTACTCATAAGGAGCCGTTTGCTACCATCAGTGTGAACTGTTAGATGTTGTTGATTGCCTTCGAGTCGAACAAGACTCATAGCAACCCTAGGAACAAAAGGCCTGAGATAGCACCTGCAAATACTTAACCTGAGTACTTCCCTTGAGAAAGGAATGGCTTCATATGTGTACAGTGGGCAGTGAGCAGGTCTGTTGTTAATCTATGCTTAAAGTTTCATCTTCCCTGTTCTTCTAATACATCCATGTACTTTATACATTTTTCTCTGGCTTCTCTCACTGTGCCCTGATTATCAAAGGATTAAGTGTGAATTCATTTTCTTCTTTTGTTTGCAGGACTTTGCTTTTCTAAGCCAAGTATGATATTGTTGTTGGAGCAAGGGAAAGAGCCCTGGATGGTGAAGAGAGAGCTGGCAGAAGGTCTGTGCTCAGGTGAGTGAGGAGGAAGGAGGCAGGCAAGTTGTTTTGCTGGTGGCAGCTAAGTGTGAGTCAAGGCCATTACCTTTTCACCATACTTTGTTGGCATCTTCTTAAATCTTTTAGGCTTTGGTATAAATTTGTTGTTGCTGTTGTTAGGTGCCATCCAGTATGACTCATAGTGACCCTGTGAACAACAGATCTGAACCCTGTCCTCTCCTGTATCACCCTCACCACCTCTAACTTACTTGATCCTATTAGGGCTGCTGAACTGTGTCAATCCATCTTGTTGCACTGACCCTCCCCATTTCCAAGAAAAAGCCTCTCCTAATTGGCTCAGTGTGTGAAATGAAGCTTTGCCCTTTTTTGCTTCTATGGAGCACTCCAGTTGCACTTTCTCCAAGACATATCTGTTTGTTCTCTTAACTGTTTTTCTGGGCTGTACATTCACAATCCCGACTTTGAAGTTAGAAGTTCAGCACAAACCATTTGCACCACTTAGGGATATTTAATGCCACCTGGATCCAGTCTCTGGCTTCTGGAGACGCAGTAGGTTTGAGGACTCTGAGTACTTGCGGTGGTTCTTTGGGGCCCACGAGGAGGTTGGCAGAGCAGACCAGCCAGATGAATGGGGGTCTGGGGCTGGGAGTTTCCCAGCAATTGGGCATGCTGGGCTGCTAAAACACTGTAGGGCCCTCAGGCCTGTCTTTCATTGTTTTGGTTCAGACGTTCTTCTAGGTCGTATAGCCCTGGTGTACAAGTTGCCGTACAGCGGTCACTTGTCGTTGCTGTGAGGCTGAACACTGTGACACTGATGTGTCAAATGCATTAATGGCTGGTTACCCATTGCGGGCAGAGAGTGAGGTGGAGCTTCCCAATGAAAACAAGCTTGGAAGGAGGAGTGGCATCCCCTTCCATAATAGCTTCCCTCCGGAAACCCTATGAACCTGGAGAGAGGAAGAAAGGCACCCAAGCGTCGAGGACTCTCCTTCATAGGGTCGCTGTGAGTCGCCTGCGACTGATGGCACTTAACAACAACAACAGGGACTTTAAACACAGAGATAAGGAAGTACAAACAGGAAGGTAAATGCCAATGAAAATCATCAAAGGATCAAGGAAGGCCAGTGCTACAGAACCTGAATGTATTATAGTGTTGGAAACAAGACAGCTCTCAACTATTTCGTGGCCACACAGCCCAACAGCCCTTCCCTCAGTAGTGGTTGTCAGAGGTCCCTTTCACCTCCGTCCTGTTTGGGTAAATGTTAAAGTTCTTTATCTGTGCTAGAAAGCCTCCTGCCCAAAGGTTCTTAGCTGTCTTTTCTCCCCATGGACCAGCAGGGCCACAGCAGCCATCTCTCCATCTTACATGCATATAAAGTGAATAGCATGGCTTGGGTCATGAGCACCATAGTTCTCAAAGTGGCATCTTTACTTTTTAACATTTTTAAGAGGTCTTTGCAACTCTTTTTTCTCATCCTGAGTCCTATCAACAAATGAAGTTTCTGAAAGCTTTACTTAACTTGGAGGAGGTATTTCTTCCTCAGGAATATTTTTAGGGACTTATCATGTGGTACTGTATCAAGTATTATTATTCATAAGGTTTTCACATGTCATGTAGGTAGATCATTACATCATTCTTCCTTGCATGTCTTTGTCTAAAAGTTCCCCTGAAACCTGTCCACTCTGAGTGACCCTGCTGGGATTTTAAATACTTGTAGCATAGTTTCCAGCATTACAGCAAACTGCAAACTGCCACAGTATAGCAAACTGACAGTTGAGTCACTCAGTATCGTGGCTTGAAATTCATCCAGGTTTATTGTATGTATAAACAGTTCATTTATTCTGTATTATTCCTGAGTAGTATTCCAAGGAATGAATATGTCAAAGTTTGTTCTGTCATTCACCTATAATGTTTTTTGCTATTACAAAGAAATTTGCTAGGAGTGGCATGCACTTCCTAAACAATAGGCCTCTGGAAACTCTATGAACTTTGATAAATATTGATAGTTACAGAAAAGCTTCAGGCCTTTCTTTCATAGGGTCACTATGAGTCATGCTCAACTCGATGACCAGCAACAACAACAATGAGTGTCAATAACAATTGCTGAAGAAGAATTGATATCTTTGGATTGTGTTAGCAAAGTAGACTGGATATCCTATGGATTTCCAAAAGAACAAACAAATCTGTTTTGGAAGAATTACAGCCAGGGTGCTATTTAGAGGCAAAAACAGTGAAAACTATCTCACAAACTTTGGGCATATGTTATCAAGAGGGGCCAGTTCTTGGGAAGAGATCATTCTGGGAAAGGTAGAGTGTCAGAGAAAGAGAAAGATCCTCAAAAAGGTGAGCATGGCAGAGATTATGAGGATGGTGCAAGATAGGGCAAGGTTAGGATCTGTTCATAAAGTCACTGTGAGTTGTTCGTAACTTGGTGGCACATTACAACATGTATATCATGTGGCCTTATTAAACTTATTAGTTGTAGGTAGTTATTGTAGACTTCTGGGATTTTTTACTTAGAACATCAAGTCATCTGCATATAGGGAGGATTTGAATTCTCTTCTGAAATTTATGTCTTTCTACTGCCCTTCTGCTCCTCTTTCCACCCCATCATGGCTTGGCCAGGACTCAGTACTATGTTGAATAAGAATGGACATTCTTACCTTGTTCTTGATCTTAGGGGAATAATGTTTATTCTCTACCCATTAAGTATTAACTTTGTGAAAAAAATTTTCCTTTTATCAATCTGTTGAGATTTCATGACTCAATATAGTCTGTCTTAGCATATGCAGGTACTTGAATAGAATGTATATTCCTCTGTTCTTGATAGAAATGTTCTGTACTTGTGAATTAGATCCTATAGGTTGATGGTATTTTTTACTTTTATAGCCTTACTGATTTATTGTATAACCAAGTGCAAGGATGAATAAGATGTAACAATGTGAGATGTAAGAATTGAACTTGGAGTTGCAGGTTTGAGTCTCCACATGCTTGTACATGATGTCCCTTCAGGAGTGGATGTTGCTGGAGGAGAAATAGTAGGGGTATGGTAAAACATGTGAGACCCATCCTCCTAGCAGGTCAAAATGAAGGTATTTTTCAAAGCAGAGGAGAGTAGAATGTATTATATTTAGAGTTTTCTAGCATGATTTATGACTTTTCAATATTTAAGTACAGTTTGTTGGCCTCCATTTGATCTCTTTCTTCTGTCTCCCAAAGATAAGGAACAGGCCTGTATATATATTCTCATTCCATTTCTGAAATTTTATACAGTTGACACTGCAGTGCCTGAATCATAGTGTTTTCATTTTTCCTGCTTCATAGTTTATAGTCCTTCCTCAGGCATTTCATTCACATTTCTTTTTAACTGAACATCAAGATTTTTAAAATCTGTTAAAAACCACAGTGACGGTTTAACTGAAATTGAATGGAAATAAGAAATGTACTTAGTGAGAATTTATATTGCCATGTCATAAGGTAAGCACTTTCCTTTTTGTCCCTCATTAGAATTTGAAAAATTGCTTCTTATGAAGTTCATTTCTAACTGAACTTAACCTCCTTCTAATCCATCACTGTTGATGACTCTTCCATCCTTTCCTTGTTCAGACCATAAACTTTGAGGGCATGCTTGCTTCTCTTCTCTCTATCCCATTTCCAATTCAGTGGCTCATGAATATACCTATAAAATGTATTTAGAGTCTGACCATGTCACTATACTCCTTTGATGTCTCAATGGCTTGAACCATATCAATCTGTCACCTCTCAGGTGATCTTGTGGGCAGGGAGTTTGGACTTCCAACCCAAAGGTAGTTGATTCTATCTGCAGGTAAAAGATGGGCAGTCTCTCCCCCCTGTAATTTACACCTTCTGAAAACCTGCTGAAGGGTCAGCTAAGAGTTGGTTTCAACTCAACAGCAATGAGGTTTCTTTGAGTCTCTCCTGGATTAACAGGAAAAAGGATTTCCTTGCTTTTCCCTTTGTCCCTTACTTTCCAATACTCATAAAAGAGAAACCATTTAATCTGAATAGTTCAGTGGCTTTCCATGCCCCTTAGAGTAAAAGCGACATTCTATAGGTCTACAAGTCTTAAATCAGCTGGGCACCTGACTTTATCTCCTTCTACTTAATTCCCTCTAACTACTCTGTTCTCCTTACTGTTCCTCAGACATGCCATACATGCATCTACTTTGTGATCTTTAAACCAGCTCGTCTGACTATAGTGCCCTTTTCCCAGATATCCAAATGACTAACTTCTTCACTTCCTTCAAATGTTTGCTAAAATGTTAAATTATGGACTTCTATCTTTGACTTCTCCTATACTCTTGATCTGTCTCACTTTGCTTTGCTTTTCCTTTTTTTAACAATTATTAACTTCTAACATAGAAAATTCATTTTCTCTCTTTCCATGAATATAACATCCATGAAGGTAAGAATATTTCTGCTTTGTTTACTGGAATATTGAAAAATATCTAGACTATTGGGCACAAAGTGAATATTTACTTCATAAGTATTCTTTTTTTTCTTTTTTTAAATTAAATTTTATTAGTTTTAATGAACATTTACAGAGATTTTGGGTTTTCATTCATTCATTGTTGCACTGTTTTCTCCACCCTTATCCCCAGTTCGTTCTTCCCCCCCCCATAAGTATTCTTGAATGAAGAGGCAATAAGAATGATTATTTCAGTCCCTGTATTATTACTATAGACATAAAATTGTATCTGAGTGCAGATGGTTTCCATAATTTATTTTTTGTCCTGAGATTTACTAAGTGTCTCATAATTCTTTTAATTTTTCCTCAAGTTTGTGTGTGAGCTACCTAGTTTGTATTCTTGTACATTAAAGACCTATGAAAACAATGGTTTTTGGGTTTTATTTTCTACTAAATTAATACACATACTTTTGTGAATATACTTTTTTCTGATATGTAATAGAGGAGACTTTCTTTGTGATTTTTCAGGCTGGGAGTCTAAATATGTGACTGAAGAATTAACCTCAAAGCAGGACCTATATGAAGAAGAATCACTCCAGAATATAATGGGAAACTTTACAGGCCTTGAATGTCCTAGTTTGAAAGAAGAGTGGAAAGGTGGGAGCTATTTGGAGAGGCAACCAGGACATCAGAAGGCATGTTTCAAGGAAGAGACAATCATGCATGAAGAAAGCCTTGTTGATAAAAGAGGACAAGAATCTAACAAATCTTGGGGAACCTTCTATCAGAACACACTGTTTAATGTACAACAGGTGATCCCTAAAGAGGAGAAAGTACATAAAACTGACATATATAAGAAAAACTTAAAAAAAAAATTAATGGGCCTTAAACCCAAGAATATCTATGTAGAGAAGAAACTTTTGAAATGTAATGACTGTGAAAAAGTGTTCAGCCAGAGCTCCTCCCTTACTCTTCATCAGAGAATCCATACTGGAGAGAAACCATATAAATGTGTAGAATGTGGGAAAGCTTTCAGCCAGAGATCAAATCTTGTTCAACATCAGAGGATTCACACTGGAGAGAAACCCTATGAATGTAATCAGTGTAGGAAGGCTTTCAGTCAGAATGCACATCTAGTTCAACATCTTAGAGTTCACACTGGAGAAAAACCTTATGAATGTAAGGTGTGTAGGAAAGCCTTTAGCCAGTTTGCCTATCTTACTCAACATCAGAGAGTTCATACTGGAGAGAAGCCTTATGAATGTATTGAATGTGGGAAAGCATTTAGCAATAGATCATCCATTGCTCAACACCAGAGAGTTCATACTGGAGAGAAACCTTATGACTGTAATGTCTGTGGAAAAGCATTTAGCCTTCGTGCATACCTTACTGTACATCAGAGAATACATACTGGAGAGAGACCTTATGAATGTAAGGAATGTGGGAAGGCCTTCAGCCAGAATTCACATCTTGCTCAACATCAAAGAATTCATACTGGAGAAAAACCTTATAAATGCCAGGAATGTAGAAAAGCGTTCAGCCAGATTGCATACCTTGCTCAGCATCAACGTGTTCATACAGGAGAGAAACCTTATGAATGTATTAAATGTGGGAAGGCTTTTAGCAATGACTCATCCCTCACTCAACATCAGAGAGTGCATACTGGAGAGAAACCTTATGACTGTAATGTTTGTGGGAAGGCCTTCAGTTACTGTGGGTCTCTTGCCCAACATCAGAGAATCCATACTGGAGAAAGACCCTATGAATGTAAGGAATGCAAAAAAACCTTCAGACAGCATGCACACCTTGCTCATCATCAGAAGATTCATACTGGGGAGTCACTTTCACCACCTAATCCAGCTAGTCACCAAGTGCTATAGCTCCTATCTTTTAAGTCCAGAATATGTCCTCATTTCTTTATCTCTAAGGTTACCACCCTCATATAAGATTCATCTCATATTTACAACTACTCTAACTTCTTTCTAACAGGTCAACTTGTATCTATAGTTGCTTTCTTAAACACATTTCCATATGGCACTGAAATGGATCTTATGCTTTAAAGAATACACATTTCATTGGTGGTGCAGTAACCACTGCACTCATCTTCTAAATAACAAGTTGGTGGGTTAAGTCCACCAGCTTCTCTGTGGGAGAATGATCTAGCAGTCTGATTCTATAAAGATTACAACCTTGTAAGCCCTGTGGGGCAGTTATCTTTCAAAATGGATTATATAGCAATCAGTCCATGTGTTTTATTGTTTTTAGGTAAATATCCACAGCCTTTAAAATTTTGTATGAGGCTTTTCATTGTCTGGTTTATTATCTATATTTCAACCCTGTTTTCATTTCTCTTTCTGGGCACTAGATACTTCCTAGGATTAAAAACTCAGATTCTGGTAAATCACAGCTCTGCAGTACTGTGGCACTGTATGACTGAGCAATTTGCTTGACTTTTAAACCTCAGAGGTGGTTTTTTATCTCAAATAAAAATAATAAGGATGCTGTGTTGTAGGAATGTAAGTATTAAATGAGATACTAGTATTTGTTGTAGAATGATGCGTATTAAATGAGAAGTTGACATTTATAAAGTACTGCATAAATGTGTCACATAATAATACTCAGCACATATTTAGTGCCTACAATGCACTGGTTTTAACTCAGTTTACTTCTCACAACTGCAATACGTTTTTTGGTAGACAAATAGAACATCCCTGGGAAGCAGTAGGTCAGAACTGGGGTAAAACAAAATATCTGAAAACATTACATAAAAGTCTTTGTACCTTAGTTGAGTATACAGGCAGTATCAAAATAACACTAACACCAGTTTTAGGAAACTTCTAAAGGAAATTAACTGAATATTAAGTGCTCTCAAGGTGGATCTGACTCCTAGTGACCCTTTGCACAACCAGCTGAAACACTGCCTGGTTCTGTGCCATCTTCACAGTCACTGCTCTGTTTGAGCCCATTGTTACAGTATCAGTCCATCTAAGTGAAAGTCTTCCTCTTTATTCTCTGGCCTTTTCTTCTACCAAGCATGATGTTCAGCTCCAGGGACTGGTTCACTCTGACATGTCCAAAGTATGTGAAAGTAAGTTTCCTCATCCTTACTTTTGAGGAGCCTTTTGCAGCCAGTACTTATTCCAAGATAGATTAGTTCATTCTTCTAATAGTCTGTAGGATATTCAATAGTATTTGCCAACATCATACTTCAAAGGCATCAATTAGTTTTCCCTATTCATTGTTCACCTTTTGCATGCATATGCAATAGAGGCATTAAATTGTGTGGATCCTAACAGTTATGAATAACATTGGTAAGAACAGGAATTCCAAGACACTTAATTATTCACGCAGAACCTGTACATGAACACTGACCAAAATGCATTGGTTTGAACAGAAAAATGGGCATTATATGGTGTAAAATCAGGAAAGTTATGTGATAGGGTTATACCCCTCATTTTATTAAATTTGCTGAGAAAACGATTCAAGACATTATATTATATGATAAAGAATAGACTGTATGCATCATTTAAAGTAAGGAAGATTAGGATTCACTAAGAAGAATGAAGAGTTTACATTTAGATTTGTTGTTGTTGTTGTTGTTAGGTACCATCAAGTTGACAACAACTCATAGTAGCCCTATGAACCCTATGAACAACAGACCTGAACCTTTCCCTATCCTGTGCCATAGTCATGATCTGAGTATATAACAATTAGTTCTAAAAACTCAACCAATACAGAAAGTACTGATTAAATAATCCTATAGTTAGTCAGGTGATTTCTCTTTAGGTAGAAAATGTCTAAAATTTTATCTGCTTGTTGTAAAACAATTAAAAAGGGGACTAAAGTAGGAAAACTATAGACATAAATAAAAACTTTGATTCATTCCATGAATATTGAGTGGCTGCTATTTGTAAAAGGTCCCCTGGTGGTGCAATGTTTAAGGGTTTAGCTAACTGAAAGGCCAGTGGATTGAATTCACCAGCCTATCTGTGGGAGACGAGATCTCGCAGTTTACTCCTGTGGAGATGACTGCCTAAGAAGCACCACGAAGTGGTTCTACTCTATCCTCTATACAAGGTTGCTATTGAGTCAGAACTAACTGATGACAACAATCACAACCTGCCACTGTCTTGAACATGAGGAAGAAATGAGAAGGCCAAGATCATATCCTAAAGGGGCTACATTGCAGAGACTGAGACTGTATTAATGTTTCATATTAATATCTAACTATAAAAAACCCCAACCCTAGAAACTGTAGAATAAAAATATAAATTGAGAATTAGGCTAAAGAAACTCAACATACAAAGTTCATATTTCTTACTAATTCATCTAGTCATTGCAATTCCAGCCAAAATTCCTCAGGGGGCATTTTTTCACCTTTCATTTCACAAGTTTGTGCTGAGATTAATGTATGAAATATAAATTCTTAAGGACAGCAAGAAAATTCCTGAATTTGACCTGTTTGTAAAAATCTTTTTTGTGATAAATAGGACACTTGACACGAGGGATGAATTTAGAATAACGGTCTTATGCATCACTAGTAGTAAGAGAAATGAAAAAAAAACGTTAAAAATGAACTCTTTAAAAAGCATCACAATGGCTATATATGGGAAAGGGTATATGAAATGAGTGATTAGCATAATACCATTAAAGAACAGGAAGATATGAAAAGGTGCACAAGAGTTGTAGACAACAATAGACCATCACATACATGAAACATCTCAATGGCAAGAATAAAAATGATACTAATTATTGAAAATATGTGGAACACTAGAAATGTTCACACAGCTTATTTGACTAGAGGTAGTTGTATTTAAAATAATTTGGTAATAGCTAGTAAAGAAGAGTGAATACTGTTTGACTCTCACAATTCCAAGCTTAAAATTACATCCCTGCTGAGTCGTGCATGCAGAGAACACTGAAGCACTGTGAAAACATTTGAAAATTATTTAAATAACCTCTAAATGGAATAGAAGTTAAAAAGTGAGTATTAAGAATGAACTAGAGATAACTGTATCAACATAGATCAATCTCAAAAACTATTTATAAAAGGGAAATTGAAAGTGGTTTTTGTATAATACAGTACTACTTGTTTATGTAAAGTGAAAACATACAAACCAATGCTATAGTTTTTTTTATAGCTAAGTACTACATAGAAATAGCATTCTCAATAATAATCAACACATTCGAGACAGCAGCAACCTCTGGAGAAGGAAAAATTAAACTGGTGAAAGGTTGCAAAGGGAGATACCTTTAATGTTTCATTCCTTTTAAAAATAAGCACATATGACCAGTTCTTGTGGACATACTGTTGGAGATGCATATTCTCTGTACCTTTCTTTCTGTATCTTTACACTTTGATAATAAAAATTAAAGAATATTTCAAAGATGTTGCTTTTGTTGATCATTTTCTTACTATAGCTCAGGCATGCTACCATTTTCTTAAAAAAAAAAAAAAGGATACAGCATAATACTCATTGCAGGGGAGTCAGAAGCAACTCCTATCCAACCCTGCAGCTGGGTTTCAGAGGCTGTAAATAGCATGGGAGGAGACTGCCCACAAAACGAATTTTCCATACATACACACATCCATATGGGATGTAGGGGGAGAGAAAAGGGAGAGAAGGAAATAGAAGATAAAGAGTTAGGGAGATTTCTTTTAAAGAAATGGCTCACATGCTCATAGAGGCTGACAATTCTGAGGCAGTGTCTCAGAATGGGTCTCTGACTGCCAGCTTCAGAAGCAGATGAAGCATCATTGGGTCATCACCAGGAAGCAGGAATGAAGACTGATGACTTTGGAAACTCAGATTCAGAGGCTGACATGGCAAGTATGTCAAGTATGGACATTATGAGATGTAAGACTGTACATATATCTTTCTTGCTTTTGCCAAAGTTCAATCATGTTTATTGCTGAGACTGCCTTTCATCATATCAGGTTGATAAAAATCTTTACATAACTACCTCTACTTTTGCCTCACTAATGTTGTCATTGCTAGGTGATGTTGAGTCAAGTACAATTTATGGTGACCTTATGAACAACCAGTATGAAACCTGTCCTAATTCTGTGCCATCCTCACAATCTCTGACACAATCAAGCCCATTGCTGCAGTCACTGTGTCAACCCACCTAGTTAAGGTTGAGGGTCTTCCTCTCCTTTACCATCTTATAGGATCATGGTTATGCACTCGTGTATTAACCAAGACAGCAGCTTTCAGATTGGGATGTGTGGGCTATCCAATTATTAACATGTTGGTAGCTGGTGTTTTTCATTTGGAGTTGTGCTACAGCCGCAAATAAAGCTTCTTCAATGACCGAAATCTTGACTTCATACATGCCGTTAAGCAGACTTGAGGCAGCTCCTCCTAGCAATGTTCTGAGTGTCTTACAACCTGGGGGGCTTCCATCACCCATCACTGCATCAGATTCATTTCACTACTTTTCAGATGATATTCAGTGGCCCATTATTTTTGATGTAGAAGGTCAATATTGCTTTCTAGTCTGTCTTAGTCTATACGATCTGGTGAAACTTGCCCACCATGAGGGATTCTACTGATACTTAAGGTACATGTGGCATAGCTTTCAGTATCACAAACCGCATAGTACAAGAAACTAACAAGACTCATATTGGGGGATAGAAATCTGTTTAAAATGTAAATGGATCCTCTTAGCTACTGTGATGAGAATGAACTGCAGGAATCAGGAAACTACTGCAGTAATCCAAGGGAAAAAATGTATACGTACCTGTATATTCATGCCATCCTTCTTAAATAAATGTAGTGTACATTCATATTTTTCCCAATTCACTTTTTTTCAACTCTTTCATCTCTAATGAATTTGAAAACCAACTTGACAAGCTGAATGAAAACTTTATGGTAATTGTAATTGTTGTTGTGTGTTGTTGAGTCACTTGCAACTCCTAGCGACCCTACGTACAACAGCCCTAAACTCTGCTCTGCCCTGTGCCAATTGCACTGTCTCCGATACACC